TATATATATATATACAGTATATAAATAAATAACTAGAAAATTGTGCTTTCAATACATTAAATGTAACAGTATTTTATCTTTGACTACATTTATCCATTCTGCTCAGTCTGTAAGCAGCATATCAACAAGCTGTCACTGACAAGTGATCAGTTATCTGCTACAGAAAACAGCTGATAACACAAAACAATAGATTTATTGGGTTCCTTATCATGCATAATCATGATTGGTTGATTGAAGTCTAAACAGCTGCATCTTATCTTCTAAGCTCAGTTCACTTTAAAAAGTGAACATTTACTTTTCTAAAGGTGCCCATACACTGCACGATTCTCGTACGAGAATCGCCGGAAATCCCGCGATCGTACGAGAATCGTGCAGTGTATGGAAGGCATGCGACCGTTTCTACTGTACGGTCGCACGTCTTCCATCGAACCAGCATGTTTGAAAACCCGCCGGGAATCGTACGATTCTCGGCGAGTTGGTGGCCTGCTGGTTCGACACTGCCGAACGGGCCGGTGTGCGCACACGCACACTGCCCGTTTGCAGTCAGCGTAAGCCCGTCCCTCATTACAGTCATCGCAAGCCCGCCCCTCAGGGAGCGTGGCTTGCGATGATCGAGAGTGCGATCTGCCCGTCCAAGATGGGCAGATCGTACGTTTTTTTAATCCCTTTACAACCATCGCAAGACTAAGGTCTTGCGATGGTTGTACAGTATATGGCCACCTTAAGTGAACAACTTGTTTCTTTAGTAAATTAGTAAAGGCTGAACCAGAATATTCTAATAGGGTATGGCTGTCTTAAGTATTATTGCTAATTCTCTAGAAAGGGATGTTTGGCACGGGTAAAGGAAGTGTTTTACGAGATTGATATGTAAACTGCCATTGCTGACCATTCTGTCTGAAGTGCTAGTTGCCTGTCATGCTGATCTACTGGTTTCAATACGTTTTAGTCATTGAACCAGAACAAGCATGCAGATAATGTGTTATGACTTCACTTCCAGCATACATTTGCTGGGTTAGTGACTCTGACAATATTGAAGCCAAAAACAGTGAGGCAGATATCATTTTAAGGAGGAGTTCAGCAATGGCAACTCCGATATTTCTGACCTTTTAAGCCATTCACCAATATACCTTACTGATCCTGGGATGATTATAAGTGCTTCTGGACTTTTAATAATTGCGTTAACTTTTTTACTCAAGTAAGTGAACTTATGATCATGGATTCAGGTTTGATATGTGGGGCTGTTACAATGTGTTTACTTTAATCGATCCAAAGGGAGCTTCATCAGTGGGTGAAGTTTGGGTGAAGTGAGTCAGTTCTGGCAATAATAGTTTCTTCCTTGCCCCTCCCTCTTCTGCCAGTAGGTCATTGTACTATCTTTCCCCAATTGGTCACTGTAATGTCTTGTGCCAAGCACTTCTCTTCAGCTCCACAACTCTTTCAGGTCCCTCTACATTTGTGTCTTTTTCTTTTTCACGGGCAGAGGAGGATAAAGCATTGAGCCTGACAGTGGCACAATTTGCATGAAAATAAACAGTGAAAATTCCTGATACGCATAATTGTCTTACTTGTTTGTTGTTCAGATTTAAGCTGGGCACAGCTGGAATTAAAACTTCAGATTTCACTGCTTTGGTCTCTGAAAATGGTTCTTCCTCTATTGCTTCTGGCAAAGGTGGAGGACTTTTGATACTACAGCTGCTACTGCTACGCCGTGGAATTTTCACAGAGCTTTAAAAATACAAAATAAGTTTATATTTGAACAGTTAGCATTTAATAGAGTCACAATAAAAATGAGAATAAATCCACATATTGCATATGTTCTCATACTCTCGGACCATACAATTATAGCTAAATTAAACAATTTGAAGTGGTGTGATGGCATTTTATATATTTCTTTTTATACGATGCTATAATGCCTGAAACAAATACAACTTGTTTTTTGACTTATGGCAAACTTACATTTTGCTCATACAAAAAAAGTAAAATGTTTGCTTTAGCCCCCCTCCTGAGAAGCAAATACCTTTTTGTTCGCTTCTTTGCTGCCCTATTGAGAAAAAAACTAGACCACAGCATATTAGGGTGTACTCATGGCACAGTTGTACTCAACCGTGCCCGAGTACGACTGTCACCCCTCCCCAATTACCCGTTGGTCTGCGCTCAAACTGTGCTATAAGGAAGCACTCTCAGGCATGCTTAAATTAATTGTTCTGTGACTATTGATATTTCAATACTCGAGCATGTTTTGCCCGCACACAACCTGTACTGGAGTCCAAGTGAATCATGCCCCAGACCACCTCTTCCAAGCAGTGAAGAACACTTATCCGCTCCAGGTGCGGCGTCTCAGTATACCGCGAGCTGTAGCTCGCGGTATACTGAGCTTAGGGTAACGGGAGGACGCTAGTTTGTGTCCTCCCGTTACCCCAAGGAGAACTATGGGGAAAAACACTGATCCCATAGTTCTCCTTTAACCATGCCTGGGCAAGGCTTAGAGAGCTCACACTACACAAACAAACTGGACTGTTGCGGTTGAACTACTTCCTTATTGCCCAAGTAGAATGTATTACAGTTTCTATTACTATAGATTAGTCGGTCAAGTCATGAGACAATGAGGTAACTGTCATGAAATGTGGTACTTCAGTAATTGTATATAAGTGACGTGACATGAAAATTGTAAGTGTTCAGCTTTAAAGTAAATTTGAGAAATAAAAAAAGCTGCCATTGCTGACCTCCTTTTGAAAATGCTATGCTTAAATTCCTCTGACTTAAACACTTTGAGTCACTGGCCTGGAACAAGCATGCAGCAAGTATAGATGGATTGGAGTTAAAACTCCAACTTGTTCTTGGTCAGGGAGTCTGCACAGAAAGAAGCCATAAATGACAGCCTCCATACAGAAAAACATAAATACTTTTTATGGACAACCTCAATCAGCATGCTTTTACTATCTGTAAGTTCTTGGATGGCTGGCAACCTTGACCAAATTGTAAAGCAGTAATGCCATCTCACTCTACTTCCAATATTCAATATTTACTGGCATACAAATCTGCTTTTCATACATTTAGGAATGTATATAATTTGTGTTAGAATACACATGACTGTGTTTATGGCAATAACTCCTGCAGTATACATTTTTGGTCACTAGATGGCAGTGTTTATAAGTTCTGTTATATCTATGGTAGATTCTCTGTTGTATTGAATAAGGTAGAAAAAAAAGCTGTGGCTTCCTTCCTGTTTTTAAGCCGTGTGCAGCATGTATATCAGACTGTGTGCTTGTGTTTTATCTGTGAGGCTGTGCAAGAAGTTCCGACAATTTGCTCATATGCAGTTTTACATACATGCAACTATACTGTAACTAATACACTTTGAAAGACAGTCTAAATATGTTATTCATGGTTGGCAGTATTGCAGCAGTGCTGCAGTCAAAAAGGTCCTATAAACTCCATGGGATAGAAAACTATACTGAGTCCCAAGCCAAATGAATGGGGTAATGTGAGTACCTAACTGGTTATATTATTATAGAACTGCAAGGTTATAACAGTTCTCTGGAGTCTGACATAGCCAAACATACTACACACATACAAGTTTGAAAAGTCTATAGATTTACAGAAGTCTAGCTTATCTATCTATTTATCAACATGCATTACAGCTTGCCAAAAACCACATATGGTCAAAACAAAGATCCTTTGACCCAGTTTGGCACTGCCAAAGCATTAACACTGAGATAAGTTTTACAATGCATCAATCTGGAACGGTTAAACTATAAAATAATCAAATAATATTGCTGCACTTTCCCAGTAAAACCTCGGAGATGGAATACCACAATATACAAAACATTATAGCATGCTCCAAGTTCACAAAATGTATATTCTAGCTAAATTTTCATTTGACAAATACCCCAGCTTTATCATCTGCATCTTACCGCAATATACCACTAGTTTTCAGCCTTGTTTAAGTGCATCGTCCCATGTTAAATCATGTTTCCATGGGCTGATGCCTTCAAGAAACATCTATCATATGACCTACTTAAAAGGCAGTAAAACTAACCCATGAAGCAGTTATGCTAAACTGGAATTTAGGAGGAGTATCACAAGAGTACTTTTGTAGGTTCAGCTGTAAAAACGTTTGTATTTAAATAATCTATGAAGTAAAGCTGCAACAACTAATCGACATAATTGATGATAATCAATAATGATAATTGTTGTCAACAATTATCATTATCGATTTGTCAAACTCTGTTCAGCTGTTCTCTTCCCCGCTATGAGCCCACTGTGGTCTATGTCTCCTCCGATCCAAGCTGCTCTCCCCTGCTTGTAGCGGCAGAGTCAGTGGTCATCGGAGGGGACACTGGTCAGCTGTCTCCGTCTGAGAGAAAGAAGCCAGAGAGGGGGGAAGTTCACGATACAGAGTGCGAGTGCTGATGGATGGGTTCGGGCACAGTGGCCAGACTCATTCTGTCAGGTGAGTGGAGGAAGCTGGCTGTCCTCTGGTATTAGCCCAGGGAATGTGGTGAAGCATGACAGGAGGAAGTGGCAGAGTGGGGAAAACCTGCCTGCTGTCAATCACCCCTCCACTGCTGATTGACAGCAGGCAGTGGGTGGGTACAATAGCCAGCCTGCTATTGGCTATTTCAAATTGCAATAGCCAATAGTAGGCTGGCTATTGCACCCACCCACTACCTGCTGTGTTTACATTTAGTGAAGGGCCGGTTCAAATTCGAACTATAGAACATCCAAAAAGTCCAAATTTAAACTCAAACGCAATGCAAGTCAATGGGGGTGGAACTTTCAAAAACAATTGTCCCCTTTAAAAGGGCTTATATGCAAATAAAGTGTATGGGGATCCGGGTACTGCCCTGGGGGACAGGAATCAATGAAAAATAAAAACTTTTACCCATTGTAACGAATTAAGGAATTTTCCCGGCACCGGTCGTTAATGAACTGATCGATCGTGACTGGATAATGCCATCATTGGTCGGGAAGAGGTTAAGCTATGAAAGTGTTGCAGCACCAAACCTTCCACATGCTGCAAAAACTCTCCTACACATTGACAAAAAAAGGTGTTTAACTGAAAACGTACATAAAAACAGTAGTGTAATTCCTCTTCTGGCTTCAGAATACAGCCAATACAACTGGCAGAGCAACTCAAGAATGGGGTAATCTCTCATCATTAAGACTGCACTTAAAGAAGAGCTTCAAAATTTAAAAAAAATGAAGTGCTTTTTTTGTCTACGGGGTGAAAATAAAGAATAAAATACTCACCAGATCCTCGGTCCCACCTGGCTGCTAGAACAGTCGCTGCAGCCTCATCTTCCCTGGGCTCTGATGTTCTAAGGACCTGTGACCTGTGTAGGTCTATTAGACATTTACACACCTCGGGGCATACCAAAGCCAGAGCAGATAGGGAGACAGGTGAGCGGTCACTGCCACAAGGCCAAGGTTCAGGTGAGTATTTCTTCTTATCTTCACGCCTAGATCAACACGTGCACTTAACCCTTAATTTTTTTTAAACCTTTCTTCTCTAAATTGTAACTATAGCTAAAGCTCTCTAATGGTGTCCTGGACAGCAGTAAAACCTGTCAGGGGTTCTAATCCCCCCAAATCAGAAACGAAAAAAAGTGGTATAATTACAGAATGAATAAAGGTAGAAAAATCAAAGGCAGAAGCAGATACATTGGATTCTAAGTATAATTCGAAGTATAAAGGATTTACATACCTAACAAACACCTGAGTCTTGTACTTAGAGTGACTTCCAGGACTGGGTGGTGTGTTTGTTTCATTTTGTGGTTCTGAAGGTGTAGTACTCACTGAATTACTGACTGTGCCACTGGAATTCTTTCCTTGTGCAGGGTTGTCTTGTGCCTAATAAAACAAACACAGCATATGATAATAAAATGTATTATTTATCTCATTCAAGCTGAAAATTCTGACAGTGAATTTGGTTGTCTTTTGGGAAACTCTATTCATGCCCAAATCAAATGTTAAATTTAGGGATGCACCGATACCAGTATTTCGGTATCGAGTAAGAGTACTGATATTTTTTTGGGGTACTCGCCAATACCAAATTACGATATCGGAAGTCCCAATAAGGAAATCAGGCGGCGTGTAAAGACTCGCCACCCGGCTTCCCGATTAGCAGGGAAGCCGCCTCCATGCTTCTCGTCACTAGGTGACGAGAAAGCATGGAGCCGGCTTCCTGATTGTCTGGGAAGCCATCTCCATGCTCCCTCGTCATGAGGTGAAGAGGGAGCATGAAGCCGGCTTCCCAGCCAATCAGAAAGTAACGAGGGAGACACAAGTGACAAGGGAACATGGAGCAGGCTTCCCGGCCAATCATGAAGCTGGGCAGCGTGTAATGACCTCATGCCCGGCTTCCTGATACCGGAAGTATCGGGCTAGGCATCAGAGCATTTGGCACCAATATCGGTGCATCCCTAGTTACATTCAAAACAAATTCAGACAACAATCGTCAAGTTGTTGACGGCATTCTTGAATGTTTGTTCGTATAAAGTTCTAACCGTTTATACCAAGCTCTAGAGTTGTAGTATATTTTGTGCTTTTCGGTTTTTAGCTTTCGGTTACTTTTAATAAAGTCCACTGTGCATTTAGCTATAGTTTTGTTTTTTTGTTTTTTGTTTACATATATCTACTGCTAGTAAGCAGTAGATATATGCAAAAAAAATTAAAAAGTTACCAAATAGGTAAAACTTACCTCTGTCTCCGCCGCTCGCTCCCAGCTGCAGAATCCAGCTGCCCCGATCGGCCGTGCAGGAGGATGTGTGCGGGCGCATGCCCAGTTGAGATCAGCATCGGGGAGAGGAGGAGAGACACACTGTAAAGGTGGCCATACGCCCTACTATTGTACAACTATTGTACAACTTTTTTTGTCTAGACATTTCACACTCATTCAATTTTCGTTCAACTAGCCCATCAGGCACAGACCAATGTAGTTCGCACTTAACGCTCATCAGCACCACTAACTGGCTGATTTTCATCGATCGAAAGAACAGGTTTTTGTTTGAGCATGTGCAGTTTTCATCTTGAGATTTTTGTTGTACAACAACAGCACTAACCCAGTCGGTTTTCGTCCAACTAGAAAAAACATTTCTAGCCTGCTTGAAAGACAAAAGTCTGCCAGTTGTACAGTAATTGAGGTTGTGCTTTTCCCATCAACTGGCAGATTTTCAGACGAAAATGCAATCAGAGACAAAAATCTGCAGGTAATTGTAAGGTGTATAGGCACCTTAAGTTAATGCATGCAGCCGTGAGCATGCATGTCGGACAGACTCCGTGGGACAGGAAGAAACAGCAGTCTGCTCTGGATCAGAGACCGGCACCAGTGCTGGAGGGACTGCTTAAAACTACTGGAAGGAAAGAGATGATCGGATCAAGAGGCATCATTTAAGGCAAGTCCTTACAGCAGCATGGGGAGGGGGATGTGAGTTTAATGTCGCCTTAACTACCTTACTATCTGATGTCTCCAATTTCTTCTCTTCAGGACTCTTCTTGATTTGAGAGCTGGAATCTTGAAGCAGTGCCTTCTGGACCGTAACTGGATGGTCCTTTTCTTTCCAGTTACTGAATTTGTGGTTAAGTCTCCTTACATTCTGATGATTTTGTAATGTTCCTTTTACAGGTTCAGGGTCCACAGACTGTTGATTTTTCGATAAGATACTTTCCTTTTGGCTATCAGATGTTGTATTTTCTGTATGATTCGGTATATTATTACATGTATTGGCATGGTTCTGGCTTTCTTCTTTACTTGTCACCTTTTGGTTTTCCTGTGTAGCACTCTTTGGTAATTTTACCTCCAGTGTTTCTGTAGTAAGTACCTTTCTTTCTTCTACATCAGTGCCGGTTAGCTTTTTGCTTTCAAGGTGTTTCTTAGGTGTTTCAATTTTTTCTTCACTTTGAACTTGACGGTTCTCGAGTTGTTTTTTATTTATTAACTCCTTCTTGTCCTTGGGGCTTGCAGCTGAAGCAGTTGACTGTGAACTGGAGCTGTGATGTAACGATAGAAGATAGAATCAAACATGAACAAATGTAAATGTATCGGAGAGATAACCTTTTTAGTATTCAATAACAGACAAAAACCGGGTGTATATATTCTATATCTTAAACAACACATCAGTATTTAGATCTTGGCATAGCTACCACCAAAACCATCATTCATGTCTGCTAGACTGGTATTTTTGGGTCTGAATTGCAAGTAGCTGTGATGTGCTTACCCGTCAGTTCCAGTAGAGACTTCCACTACTCTGGTTGCTGCTGGTTCATCACGATTTCGTCTCCTCCTTTCTCGTATTTGTTCCTCTTCATCATCTTCAATCCACTGCTGGGCCATCCTAATAGTAGAAAGATTTAAACTTGATTCACAAGATAAAACGAGATTGACAAGCTTGCTGTTATAAAACACTCCATAATAAACGCTAGTAAATTGCTGTTTATGTTGTAAAATGTTGGAGAACCACACTATTCTACAATTTTAGACACCAACTGCATAATGGGAAATTACACTTTTGAAACATCTGTAGACTGCAATTACGAGCTATATGAATATTACTGTTCATTTGGAAAAGAACTGCTTTGTCAACCAATGTTATAAATACTTTATTTATGTGATAGTGTTTTTTTCTCTTTTTGTCTCTTTTCCATTAGTTATACTCTTTATATTGTAGTCTTAATGTAAAAATGGAAACTACTTTTATTTTCACTTTAGATTCTCGGGGGTCTTTACAGACCAAGCAAACAGTTCAAAGAATGCAGTGATCACCAGTGTACTATAGCCTTTATTACACTGTTTATCTGTTCAACATTGTGGTGATTTGAGGAATAGGAATTGTAAATTACAGTTCCTAGTGCTCTCTATTGAGTTCTATAGGGGTTGTTTTTTTAACCACTCCTCAATAGCAGGGAACCTTATAGACCCATCTTCAACCTATGGATAGATGACAGATATAATTTGTCTTTCAGCAACTTGAAAAAGGATTGAATCACTCATCCACAGAAGCTTCAGCCAAAATAGCTCTGTTCCATAGCCTTTGATGGGCATTAGTCAGAAATAACCATGGAAATTGACACAGTCCAACATCTCTGGTTTCTTTATCTCTTGTCAGTCCAATAAAGAGAGAAAACCTCTCATCACATGCAGCTACTTCTTGCCACTGAACCATACTGAGCTTAAAGTCAAGCTATTTTCAGTGAGTATGCATTTTAAGCTATTTTTGTAATTTAGGTATATGCAATTTCCGATGCAACTTGAATTTGTAGGTGTTCACTATAATGGCTATCTGCAAGTCACAAGGTATAGTCAACATGAATGTTGAAATTAAATAATAAAACAGAACTCTGGATATCGCATACAGAAATTAATGCAGCTCTGTGTTTGTTAACACACATAGAAGACCTGTCCTAGATGGATATTTTGCTAATATCCAGGTTATAAATAGTTAATGACATCCAGTAATCTTTGTACATTTATTATCACTTAGTGGTAGTTATCAGCCATTAGAGCTGTACAGGGAATTGTTAAACATTTACTGCTATTAAGCAGCTATTTTAGTTGTTTAATTACGCTATCCATGTAGCATTTGATTATCCAGGATGCCTTATGTCACATGATTATTTGCATACAAATCTTGATTTATGCAAGGACATTGTCCCTGCAAAGAGGCATATTGAAATCTATCAAAGCCATAACTGACATCAAAACATCTTTATTACTGAGTCTCTAGTGTTAAATTAAAAATTGCTAGTCATGCTTTAAAAAGGCAACAAATCAGTG